AGTGACGTCAATGGAGATCGTCTGAAAGTCACCTGCAAGGCCACTCCTGATTCAGTACCACAATCTGAATCCCGCTCTTACTCAAACTGCGGCCTTCCGAACATATTCCTCGCGTCTTTTTCAGTTGTATCGGTTTACCACCGTTCAAAATGTAAATTAAGTCCTGACACACACACTACATGCGCTTGATGATGGCGAAATACGTCTCACGTGACGTGAGACCATTTAAATCGACGCTGACGTACAGTGAGTGTTTAATTAGCACCCCCTACGTCACCTGGGACAAATGTAAACAGATCACACTGCAGTCTTTAACATACTGTTTCCGGCAAGTGCTGTTAGCGAGCACCTATTAATGCATACGCGACATACGACGCGGTGGGTGGCCGGCACTACGCCCGACCGCCTTTGTTTCCCCAATACTTATGTTTGCATACCGCACCTGGTACTCATTTGAGGGCTGAGTCGACCTAGGAAAGGCCCAGCGCCGGATCACACATTCGTCACTGATGTTAGCCGTGAGCGGGCATCGGAGCTTTGGTCTCCGGGTTCGCTTGGGCAGTACGCGAATCACGACGCGACCTTTCTCCCCAACGCGGAAACACGCGGTCTCATTATGACGCTCAACGCTGTCACGTGGGCACGTGCTTCGCAATCATTAGGCGCGTGCAGCGTGAAACGGCTCGGTTTTGTATGAGAGAGGTGTTTCTGGCGAGTGGTGGGTGGAAAGACGCGTGTGTGGTGGCCGTGTGGACCACCGAGGACTGTCTTTCTTTTTGTATTCAAAAAGACAAAGATCCTCCATTTAGCCTTAACAGACTGTTGGGGCAAGTGCTGTATAGCGAGCACCTATGAAGGCCGGGAACGGCGCACGAGGGGGTGGGTGGCCAGCACCACGCCCGGCCGCCTTTGTCTCCCAAGTGGCGATGTTTGCACACCGCACCAGGAACTGTATTCATTTTAGGCTGAGTCGACCTAGGAGATGCCCCGGACCGGTATAGATAATCGTCACTGGTTTTGTCCGTGAGCGGTAATCGAACTTCGGGTGGTCGGGTGCGTAGCGCAGCGCGCTAACCGCTACGCTACCGCTACCCACAGATCCTTTGTTTACATGCATTGCCATCTAGTGGCCAACACACCCACGTGTTGAACAAGGACATTGCAACTTTCCATCGACTTGAAAACACAGTCCTTGCACAGCGAGGTGTCTGACAAACACGGTATCCACTCCCCGGCGATTCGAAGCAATGATTTGTTATTCGTTCAACATGACGGTTCATATAGCGGCCGCTGATGGCTGCAGGGGTCACAATTCGAATGCACATTGTTTATGTGCGTGTTGCGAGCTTCGGAATCGATATTTAAATCAATGCATCGCTACGTGTCTCCTTGACCTCACATAGCGAATAGGCAATGATTCGGAAAGACGTTAAGATAGACAACCATCTATCCACAAGAATGCAATATTTTCAATATTTATACAACAGGTGACGTTTCGGACAATGGCCCTTTGGGATGATATGTCACCTCTTACATGTTTCCTTGTAAGGCGGTGTTATTGATTAATGTTTTGAGATGTTATTTGTATTTGCGCACAACTGCCAATGCATTGTCGCCAAACAATACCGTTCGGTTTAATCCATCAGTTTAACACGTAGGCTTTCGCGACCAATATTATTCATAATAAAGGTTTTTGGGTTAGATCGCGTTTATTTATAAATGTGTCGTAACCCTCCACCACCCGACACGGCCAATCAGCAAAAAAAGTGTCACGTTGACAAAAGACAAACAATTCACTACTTCAGCCCACCGGTGTGTTGAAGAGTTAATCCACATTTACAGTTTGAGTACGACGTTTCGCTGGTAAATACTTCCAGCATCATCGGGCAATTCGCCCGATGATGCTGCCCGATGATGCTGGAAGTATTTACCAGCGAAACGTCGTACTCAAACTGTAAATGTGGATTAACTCTTCAACACACCGGTGGGCTGAAGTAGTGAATTGTTTGTCTTTTGTCAACGTGACACTTTTTTTGCTGATTGGCCGTGTCGGGTGGTGGAGGGTTACGACACATTTATAAATAAACGCGATCTAACCCAAAAACCTTTATTACGGTTTAATCCATATTATGCACTATAATGAACACGTTGCATAGTGGATCACCCTACGTTCGTTCCGGACTAAATGTGCATTGCCCGACGGGTGTTTGTTTAAAGCAGGCGAACTCTGGACCGGGTGTGACCTTTTGGCTTGCGAAGTAAACAGATTGGTGTTAGACAGTGTGTGTGTGTTGGATACATCCTGTATGCTAGTGTGTATTGCGCTTAGGTCGCTGCAGTGACCGTGTGATATAGGAAGGCTAGCGGGTCTGCCACGTCAGTTTTGTCCCCCTTTTAGCAATAAAGTAACGATTGAGGCATCATTCCATGATTGAGGCATTTAATTTCCGTGTTGAAATTTAGCGAGTGCTATAGGTCAACGTTGTTTCAACAGCTGGTGCCGCCGCTCTGATAATGTCCACACTCTGTCTAGTGCATGAGAATTCCCTTTTCCCATACTACCAAATGAAAACATTTACTTCTTCAAGTATGACCTCTGCTGCATAGATCCTCCTCTAAATCTGAAAAATGAAATTGATTCCCCGGGGTGCCATTTTAATTGATTTATTTCGCTCTAGACATCTGCATAAAATTCATTCACTCACTTTAATATTCTGTCTGTCATGTGCTACCGTCCCATCTCGGTCTCCCTGGGGGCTTCCAGTGGTGTGAATTACCAAGGAGGAGGGTGGGGGATACGAGTCTGTGATGAAGCCACGCGATCGGCTCGCGTGTGGCAATGCGTGATGGGTTATTATTGTTGTTGTTGTTTTTGTTGTTGCATGGCGAGACCCATGGGAGGATGGCGACGACTTTGGGACGACGCCTTCGTCCAGCAGTGGATAAAAAGCAATGCACTTTTTTTTACAATTTGTTTTAATGCAGTAGTCGATCGGAAGGCATAGGTTGTTGCTGACGGTTCGATGAAGCTGAACTCTGCAGTGTGAAATGATCTCTCGAGTGGTATAGAACAAAACATCGCGCAAATAGTTTATAATAACATTTTATTTCAAGTGGTATATAACAAAAATTATCTCTCAAGTGGTATGTACAATTTTTTTAAAAACCTCAACGCATTTACCAAGAACACTGCCTAAACAGAAGAAAAAATATTTAATGGGCGACGTTTTGGGGAATTACCCTTCTTCATAGCACAACTGGTTATTATTGTTCGGGGTCGGCGTGACATTTCTCTTTTGTCTGAAGGTTTATTGACATCTAGTGGAGAGAACAGAGGGTTGCCAATTATCACTTAAATCTTATTCAGTCGGGTGGGCTTGTGACACGTAATTGGATTTCAATAGCAGGACCAGTGGGGAATATACATTATTCAGTAGGGAGGAATTGATTGTACGTGTACAGTCACCCCTTAATTTATCACTCGATATGTTTCAGGACGTTGCTGAGCTGGCTTTGAGTGGGGATTATCGGTGTAAGGCACTACCACCAGCGTTCAATTTGCGACGAATCCATGATAAAATAAATCATGTTATTTTACCATGCAGTATAATTATATTAGCCTGTATTTCTTTGTATCATGATACCGTAGGTTAACGGTGAAATTCGGCGAAATCCACTGCTGGATCATTGTCTCGATCGACACATTGTGTTGCGGGGTTTTATTTTGCAGAACCACAGCAGCAGAACGTGGTACCACCGAAGGTCGTTAGGATCTATACGACTAAATACTTGAGGTCATAACACCACCACACTCAACTCAAACCGGTTGTCACAGAAGTCACCGTTATTGGCAACCTCCGATTAGCACGGTTGGCTACGTACGGTGCGAAAGAGGTTCAACATACATACAGTACATACAAAGACATTGGAACCATATCTGGTGCATAGCTGGCAAGCCATACGGTTTACCCGTATCCTATGACAAGGAAATTGCGTTTTCAGGTCCATACGGCGTACAACCGTTTTAATACGGGTAATTTGTTCGGAAATTTGTTTGTGTTTGTCCCTTGTGATGGGACTTTGTAGGATGAACGTTGAGATTTAAAAGGGCACGGGGTGACCTGAATTCGTATGTAATAAGGTAGGCACTGGTAAGGGGTTGACAGGTATGGTGGTGGTACCCACAAAGTGAAATGCATCTGTGGGCTGGCCTCATGGAGATTGATGACGCTATGTAACACGATTTTTGTCCCTGGGTAGTAAGTGTTATTTTTTAATTGCTTATGCCTAAAAAGTATAGAAAATGGCTATTATTCTCCACAAACTTTGCTTTTGTGACCAGGACTTTATGTGAAGGAATGACACAAATGCACACCACGTTTTCTCATTGAAAATAGGTACATTTCAAAATATCACTGTCCTAGTCACAAAAGCAAAGTTTGTGGGGAATAATAGCCATTTTTATGTACTTTTGAGGCATACGTAATTCGGAAATAACACTTACTACCCAGGAACAAAAAATGTTTTGTGACATAGTGTCATCAGTCGCGTGGCTAGAGACCTCGCCCACCGCCCCGCTCACTACCCCCTTGGCCACGCCCCTCACTTTCAATCCCGGCGATGTCCCCTCACTTGTGACCACGCCCCCTAACTCCCGACCCACGCCCACCGGCACGCGCCGCATGCTAAGCACGTCCGCGCACTGCGCATGCGCGAACCCCATTCAAACCGTAACGGTCGCGGCGGCGTCTGTCGGCGCGCGCCGTTTGACTCCCCACTAACACACTGGCAGCGCGCCTGGCCACCATTGGCTGCCGCGTCGACACGTGACCTCGTGGCTTGCAAGCCGATTGGGTCAAGCGCGTCACATGCTCCGCGCTCGGGGCGGGGGCGTGCAGGGGGGTGGCGATGAGAGCGGCGATGCGCATGCGCTGTGGGAATTGTATCGCGGAGGGGCGGGGGGAAAGAAGGGGAGGGGCGGGAGAACGAGGGGGAGGGGCGGGGGGAGGGGCGGGGCTGCGCGGTTCCCTGGCAGCGGCGCCGCGGCGCGGGAGCGAGGTTTAAGCCCAGAGCCGACACCGTTTGCGGCCACTGCCAACATGGACTTCGGACGCATTAACGTGGGAAGCTACGTGGAGATCCAGCGCAGCGACGGTGAGAGGAGCGCGAGGGCAGGCGGCGCGAAGGGACGGCGGCAGGGAGACCCCGGGGCCGCGCCCCGCGGGGGCTCTCGCCGCTGCTCTGATTGTATTTGGTCGCGCGTACAAGTAGCACGGTCCCCCACGTGATGTTGGCATGGCCAATTGCGTCAGCGCTTGGTTGGGTCACGTGATACGTAGCAGCCAACTGAAGGTGGCGTAGCGTATGTGAAGTGTTGATTCTAGCAGCCTGCGGCGGGCCTGGGTGTGATGTCCGAAGCGTCGGTGTTGCCTAGAAAGCCTGCCCGGGACGGGGCTGTGTCCCCCGGGAGGGAGAGGTGGAGTCGGGCCGGGTGATGCAGTGTCCTAAGCGGGGTCCGTGACCAGTGTTTGAACCCCGCTCACCCGAAGTAATTTGCTTTTTGAATTAGACAGGACGCTCCATGGTTGACCAGACCTGTGCTGTGGGGTAGTGGATAAACAATACCGGCCGTCACTCGAGACACCTCCCCAGCCAGCAATTGTTATCCCCCCCCAGTGATGCTTTAACTAGAACACAAATGCGAGACATTCAATTCAACACATTTCCGAATAAACGTACTTTTTAAGTGCCGCGTTGTTGGTTTCATGAATGATCATTGCCCGTCAACATTGAATCCACCTCCACCCCTAGCTGCTGCTGTAACGGGCTTCCTCCACCGAGTCTCAGCAGCGTTAGGGGCGGGGACCACGTTAACACGAGAACATGTTTACAACTGAACATTATAGTGCGCCCATAGCGTAACCCGACGACTTAAGTCTTCACCGGCAACGCATTTACTGCAAGCGAGCGTGGCAACTTTTATGGGAACGACACAGTGACGTGGTCCTGTCGATAAATCGATAGAAAACGGCGCGGCAACTACCTCCAGTGAGCATTGCCTGTTATTGCGGCGTAGTTTTAACACGTAGGCTTTCGCGACCAATATCCATAATATAGGAGGGGGGTTGTTGGGTTAGAGCGCGTAAATATGAGTGTATCGTTAAACCCGCCACCACCCGACACAGCCAATTAGTAAGGTTTGTCACGTAAACAAAACATGCCAATTCGTTACAGCGCACCGGTGTGTTGGGGGAGCAAATCCACAACGTTTACATTCTTAAATCTTGACTTAAAGCTTTCGTGACTGCAGGAATTCGTATTCTTTGGGTCTGTCGGTAAAGTCGTAGGTTTTTGTTTATTTTTTTGTTATTAATATGAACCTATTTACGTGACTTTACCGAAAGACCCAAAGAATATTTACAAGTGTAGTCCGACAATTCCCCTGTGCTTCATAGTCTGAAGCCAAATACGACGCCTCGCTAATGATGCGATGCCCAATGCAAAGGAATAATGCGACCGTGCAATATAGTGCGCGCGCGTTCACACAAATGTCATTGCAACGTAGGCTGGCATCGAAGCGTGTACAGTCATTGATGTTGACAAGCGAGATGGTGACCAATTGGCCTGGAGGCGGGTTAAGACTTGGCCGCGCCGTGCCGATTTCTCCTTGCGCGTGTAAATCTTTAATGCGAATCGGTCCGGGATGTTGTCCCGTGGAGCCGCTAGGTGACAAGGTGGGGGGGGTGGGGACGGTCGCTTGTTTTTAGCGGCTTCCCGGCCACGCAGTCGATCGTCTCTGCTAAATTAACCGCACCGTAACAAAACTGCGCGGACACGAACCGGATCGGATATCGGCTTGTGCGCGCAACGCAGCAAGCATCGCCGCGCGCTCGCCGTGCAGCTGCGGTCCCCCACGCGTTTCAGGCGGCGACGGTGGGTTCCAAGCCAAGGGGGACCGGCATTCTGGTGGTAGGAACCGGAGAGCTTGTTTTAGTTGTTGTTGTTGGGACAGTTGCATTTTGAATCGGCGCATCTGCGTGATTGTGTGCGTCGATACATTGTAAAGCGTGCGGGGATGGTTTGCCACTTTTCACGATGCTTTGGGAGGAATTTGTCAGCGTTTTCAAAGTTCCGCGAGTCGAACCGTTGCGAGCGAAACTATAAGGTGTTGTGATGGCGTGGGTTTTTTTTTTTGCAAACCGTAAGCATGTAAGCGTGATGACGAATGTCTTGTAAGACGTGGTGAGCTCAGCAGTTAGCCCACTCGCGCGCAACGCATTGGTGTTATTGATCGCGTTCACCTTGTCAAAGCGGCTCGATAAGTCAATCTCGAGCTGGCTGGCGACATTCCCGGTCGCTTAAATATAGAAATGCCGCGCTTACCCCCCCCTACCCCCACATTAAGCGCGATCGTGAGCGGCAGCAGCTCGCTGCAGCGAGATCAAAAATCTCCTCTGCAGCTCCGTTCCCCATTCTAGCGCAGAAAACGTGTGCGTTGCATTCTGTTGTGTTATTGGAACCTTCAATTCCATCCACCACCGAATCTTCCATGGGATTGAAAGGGAGTGCGCGTCGCGGTGTGAGTGCAGCTTTGGCCAACACTCTGTTAGGGGGGGGGGGCTATGCGGGGAATCTTTGTCTTAGTTGGAACATTGGCCGCCGCACCCAATTTATTGTGCAGTATTATGCTTTACCACCGGCATGGTGTGTGTACTTGTGGTTGCCGTGGTATCACGCCATGTAATCCTTTGACCCTTCGGGCACGAGTACGTTGACAACCACACCCACCACCAACAGCCCCTCACTCAAGACTTTTTTTTGTTTAACTTTCAACGGCCAGGTATGGGTGCAGTTTCATCAGCCAAGTTTTACCAGTTACGGTTCGAGGCAGGCTGTGTTGCTACCTGCCACCGCACTGGTATTCCTGCCGCTGAAGACAAGCCCGCTTTTTTTCTTATTACACGCTTTTTAACACATACCTGCGAAGGGAGCTGGTAGGAACGTTGGGTTGCTCGGTCAATGGCCAGGGTCAACGGCGGCACCACGTGGTGTACTCCGCAAATATGCCCGACTATGAGGCCGGGCACAAGCCGGCGTGAGTAGGTTAAACGTTGAGTTTTATAAGGGCACCACGGGGTGACCAGCCCCTCCCCACCCAGCCCCTCCCACCCCCCACCCAGCCCCTCCCACCCCCCACCCAGCCCCTCCCACCCCCCACCCAGCCCCTCCCACCCCCCACCCAGCCCCTCCCACCCCCACCCAGCCCCTCCCACCCCCCACCCAGCCCCTCCCCACCTAGGCCCTCCCCCACCCTCCCCTCCCCACCCAGCCCCTCCCTCCCCACCCAGACCCTCCCCTCTCCACCCAGCCCCTCCCCACCCTCCCCTCCCCATTCAGCCCCTCCCCACCCAGCCCCTCCCCACCCAGGCCCACCCCTCCCATTTTTGGATGCACGACGGACGGACGGACACAATAATCCCCTGTGGGCTGGTGTAACCAGGAGGTTCCTACCAGTATTAACTCACTCTGTTGTCATATTCTCAAATCTTGTAACTCAATTTTAACCCACTTCCCAATGTGGTATCGACTGAAAACTTGGTATACTTATGTCATACTGATGACAATACTATATTATATTATAAAAAAATACAAATATATATTTTTAAACATAATTTTTTTATATTTTATGTTTCGGCTTGGGTCTAATTGTCCACGGTGAACTGACGTTGGCTGTAAATCACCACGGCCCCCTTACGTTATGGCAAGCTTCAGGGCCACTTCCTGGAGTCGTGGAGTTCTGCCATTACTCGTACGGTACATTTCATTAAAGCGTGTTTTAAAAAAAAGTTGTTTTTATATATATTACTTATGTTGGTGGTTGTTGGTTTATCTACGTAATGTAGGGAGACACTTGATACCATCCAGTCGTAGTCGAGGTAGCGTTGTCGGTGTATCATCAGATCCTTTTGTCGCTTGGTGATACATATTTAACGTGAAATATTGTGCGCTTGTGGGAGGAAATTGTTACATCAGCTTTCAGAAATACTGATGAATCATGCGCATGTCTGCCATTAGTTTTGTCTAAAATACATTTCAGCATGGTATCGTTTGATAAAAATTGAAACAACCACTTATCAAACGAAACATGCGTCAGGCATGTCATTCTAAATATGCCTGACAATATACAAGGGGATTAATAATGTAAGATTGGTACATTCCACGTTTATGACTCTTCCTTTGACGAGTTTGTGCTCTTCACAACGTATGTGCCATGAGAAAGATTTGGATTGTTGTGGGCCGACATAGTGTGGCTTGTAGCCATCACGCCATGCTCAAGTATGTCCGTGTGTCCATATGCCCACAGGAAGAGTTCATCAGGCCATGGTGACAGCACTGAATGAGGACAGTGAAAGCGTCACCGTGGAGTGGTTTGAGAATGGGGAGACGAAGGGAAAAGAGGTGAGGTTTCCGTCACTTGTTTAAGCAGTTTGAGTAAGCCTCGCATAATACAAGGTTTGTTTTTTGCATCTCGCGTGTTACTGGTTGGTCAGCATTGATCTATGGACAGTTGTGAATTATAAAGAAGGTCATGTGCTCACAAGTATTACATATAAAAATATATTTCTTCAAGAAAGACTGCCAGTATTCACCATTGTCATTGTAAAATTAATTATACGTAATCACCCAGTGGTGGTATTCTCAAAAACAAAACTGGGCCCGTTATAAACACATACAGCTCTGTAATGGCATAGTTTCCTGAATGATCTAAATTGAGGTCTGCCACGGAAATATAGTTGCATGACTTGACTCGAGTACACTTGATGAAAATAGAATCGGCTCAGCTTGATAAGTCTAGGACCCAAGTTCACCATTGTGCTTTTCCTCTGTATAATGCATTTTGCCATTTTAAAAGAGCCCACATTTCTGAAGGTGTATTTCATTAATGTGTGCTTTGGTAGCAACTGTATGCTGGATTAAGATTAGTAAAATCCTTCTCCTTGTCCCTGAATGATGATTGCTGGAGGCACATGAGGCTTAAGTGTTGGTCGTCCTCGCTTTAGCCCAGGCTGCACGCACACCTGCTGAAGAAAGGGATGAGGCTGTTGAGTTGCTGCTGAGGTTGCTAATGCACTGATTGCACTGTCTCGAACAGCTGTCCTGGATTAACCCAGCAGTGCAGACCGCCACCTCTCCCGAGGGATTTGTGGGAAATGCTCGGTGTCTCCTTCGCTAACCTTCATTATGCTTACATTCACTTTGGGTTTTTTTCCTGCAAATAATTGTAAATGAGGATTTTACTGTCAGCCCAAGTGGGTGTTTACATGCACTTTGACATCATAAGTCAGTTTTAAGCCAGTACATATTTGAAAGGAATAAGTAATATTCAGTAGCAGTGGCGCAGTGGTTCATGCAAACCAAGTGACCTGAGTTTGATTCCTGTCCATGGCGCTAACATCACCGGCGAGTGATATGTGAATCACCACAACCCACTGACCAACATTGTGAAGTATGGCCAACTAACTTCCTTGAATCAACCATATGGCGAGATCTTTATCCAGCAGTGATTGACATATGTCTGTAAAGTATTACATGTAAGAAGTGTCATGGCCAAATCGGATTTATATGCTGCTGGTGACATACTACTAAAAACTGATGATAAAACAAACCTTGTCCGCGTTCCCAGAAAGCCGTGGCGCCAGCATTCCGTGTCTCTGCTGCTCGTAGTTACAGAGGGAAAGGGCAGCAGCCATTCATTGAGAATGCGTTTGTATAGAGACTTAGGAACCCTGCCAAAAAGTCGGTGCTTTACAACTGGTTCTTACCCTGTTTGTACAGAATCGGGCACAGTGTTGAGGGCAACACACAAGTTGCTGCCGCCTCTGCTTACTTTCCAGATGCACAGCCTAGATGGAGCCACGATGCATACATTTAAAAAAAATTGTCTTCGCAGTTTTCCCCTCGTGTGGGGAAATCCTCGTTTCATTTTGGTTTGTAATATACGTCGCTGTGTCGTATGTATAATGGATGGTGGAGATTACAGTTAAAAGCTTTTGGAACCCCCTGAAGGATTGTTAGGTTGAAGACGGTCCATTCTGCAGGTAGTTTAAACCGCTTCAGTCAGTGTAATGCATGTGTTTTAAATCATATCCTCTATTGATTTATTTACAACTGCTGATCGAAAGACACACTTAGGTGGAACGCTTACGTACTCATAAATATAAAAATATCCCTTTCACACACTATTACCCCGAAGCAATATTATTTTACAGACATTCAGCTGTCTTTACAGCTGCATGGCGCGCACTGTTAAATCTTCTTATGCGTCGAGACTGCAAACTGCCAGACAAGTGAACCGATGCTCTGGAAACTGAACAAGTGTTTTGTGAGACAGTCAGCCGCCTGGCATTCATCTGGACTGATGGGCGAATGCGGCGGTTCTGTGTGCGCACCCACTGCTCGGTAGAGGTCATCCAAGAAAGGCGCATGGTTATATGATGTGAAAAAGTGGACTGCGAACGACGCAGTGTAGAAGTGAGTGGAGATTGTCTGCGCTTCAAGTGGCTACCAGAGCTTCCAATCCTGCAGACAATGGAGGGAGGTACTGAATGAATGATGGCCGACCGCGGTGGTTGCTTCGTGTGTATGCTGACTGTTGGGGAATAGCTCGCACTGCTGAGTCGATGTGCTGGTGCCGGCTCGTGCATGGATCGCCGGTCAACCTCGGCGCGGCAAGTGGATACGGTGATGAGACCGCTGTCTTCCTGCAGATCGACCTGGAGAGTATTTTCTCTCTGAACCCCGAGCTGACGTCGGTGAGCTCGGACGCCGGTTCCGAGCCGGACCCCGAGATGCCGCCACCCGCCATGCCTTCTGTGAAGGCTGGGAGACCCGGGAAGGTGAGGGCTCATCCGGACCTACTGTAAGAGCAGAATGTTTCTTCTAGATGTGAGCCTTTCATAAGTGATCTGCTTTCACCGATCAACAAATTCACAACCTTCAACATTAACTCTGCTTTAGAACAAACAAAACGGTAGGTTTACATTTCAGGCAGTGGTATTTATAACAAAGTGGTTATTTATGTTCGGCATACCAACATGTGTTTGAGCCTAAAGTACTGCACGGGCATGTTCTGTGTTTGTGTGTGTCATTGTTTTTGCATGTGTAGCTGCTGCATCTGATATCTGCATTGTTCATTTCTTCACAGTTGATTTAAGGTGGTATTAAAAAGCAAAGCATGCAGACTCATTATTATAGTACTGTCTCAGTGTGCGTTTCGGGATATAGTCGTGCCAGCCTTCATAGGTGCTCGCGAACAGCATTTGCCCCGCAAAAATTCTGTAAAGGCTACCCGGGGGATCTTTGTCTTTGTAGGAATATAGTCATGGAATCAGTGTGTGCATGCTAATTTGTAGTAAGAAGGTAGTCCTTGATGTTTTGATCCGTGTGCAGAGATGTTTGTTGCATAAGCCAATTTGTGTTTTTTTTCCAGACCCGGCGTACCATGATCCCCCTTCGGAATGAAGTCCCTGTTAAGGAGAGTAGGATCTCAGGTTTGTCACTCGCCCACTCTCTCACCGCTGTGGATGGCTTTGGGTCAAGCAGTCAGGTGGCCCCTACTCTAGCCGTGTAACAATTCATCTGCTCCAAAATTTGATGAATTGTCATCTTTGAGGATATTAATTCCTTGAAGAATATTTTTTAAAATCTCGTTTGTACTGTCTGATTTGTATTGACTGGAATTAATAACTCCTCCCCGCCAACCTCTTTGTGGTTGGAATAATTGTCACGATTCATGGTCACAATACTAATTAAGAATGGATTCTGTTTCGGGGTAGTGAAGTTACATCAACTAATCACATACAATGTGTACGCATAATTATTCATCAAATCTTATACACATTTTATCCATCTCTCAGGAGGAGAAGAGTAGGTTGTAATCGCTGAAGCGTTACATGCCCACCCTGTCCACTGACAGTGTGGGACATGTTCTACAATTCTGTATTCATCATCGGTGTCTGAAAACGAGGTCATAGTCACCGTTTGTGTTTCATTGAATTTGTGTGTACACTGAAAGCTGCTACCCAGCTGCCAACATTCATTAATCTCTTGTTTGGGTGGGATTCAATATCTGCCAAAGAAGCATTAATAGTACTTTGTATACAAGCCCTCCATTTTAATATGTACATTGTGTCAACTATCTTTTCATAATGGAGCAGCTGCACGTTGGTTGTATGTACGGTTATGTGCCACGTTTTAATGCCTATTGCTAAACCATCATAACCACGCATTATCAAGAGTAATTTCTCAATTAATAATGTAATTTACAGCGAAAGATTATACTGTATAATTGATCACGGTTCTGTAGAGTAGGAATTTGGCACAATTAATGCTGCTTCAATGCTGTTTAACCATGCTAGCTGACCATTGGGTTGACATGATGGCCTCATGCTTGTGGGTGGGTGCCGGTGGTGGTGCCGATTGTGGGGCTGCCGGTGGTGGCGTCGTGTTGCACTGCTGCAGCACTACCAGTGCGCAGGCGGCCCAGCACAGTGATGGAGCAGGGGGTGTCAGCGCCACAGAATGGCAACCACGGGGAAGGCTCTCCCGCCGGCGCCGGCCAGCTCGGCAAGAAGGAGTTACCAGGACAGCAGCAGCAACGTGAGTGTGGGAAGGCACAGTCAAACATGTAAAACCGAAACCTGGGTGTAGCGTGTCTTGAATAAGTAAAAAGCTATTGTTTTTTTTTTCTTCCTGGTAATGTGTGTTAATTAAATCACTTGATGAATATGTTGATTTGTAGCTAGAAGTCACTTGGGTCTGAAAAATCTTTATTCCAAGGTCAGGTCTGGTCAAAATGGATTAACTGCAAATTGTGCAATACTGTCATCGTATTGACACAGCCGTGAAATATTGTAAAGTGAAGGGAAGGGGCGCAAGCAGGCCGGTTGACGGCCTGGAAGGGCTTGGAAGCCCCCTGCCGCCTGCGAACGTCTTGGACATGGCTTCTCGTGTTTCTGCCCCGGGGAGAGGCATTTCTTTGGCGAAGCCTTAAAGGGCAGAGGCAAACGTCGTCGGGATGGTAGCCGAGTGACGTGACTGCTAACAGTGCTCTTGTGACCTTCACCCCTGTGCCATCTGTCTTGTGAGAATAATTCTCAATTATCCCGACCACAATGGAGACACAATGAAGGCACAGCGGCTGTGCTGTATGCCCTGGTGACTGCCGTGGTTTAACGTGGGGTTTATGCTTCAGTGTTCTTTGTTGCAAATATCAGAAAAGCCCATTTTCTAAGCGCAGACAATGGTTGCTTTGTTCGAGTTAAAATCGGCCTGAATATTTACATTCAAGATTGAAGCCTGCACTAGACGTCGGTTGTCGCAGCAGATGTTGGCACTCCACGTTGAAGCTGGAAAAAAAAACATTGGTATATTGAGATGGTGATGTCATAAGCAACAGTCGCGCACCGCTCACATCGTTCAGCAATCGTACAATAAAGCTGCTTGTCTTCAAGATGGCCGATTATTGAGACCTTGCCACTGACCCCACCTCAGATAACCGAGTACAACTAACTGCTCTAACATTGTTTTGACTGTCACAGAATTGCATTGATGTTCGGGTATTATTTTACAATAGTGATGACAACTCCCATATAGTAATCTCTGGGGGGTTAATAGCATTGAAATTTCACTGTTGTAAATTTTTGTATAAATTATTCCTTTAATAATGTTTTATAGTCCTTGGCTTTGCCCCAGCCGTGACAGGTGACACAAGACTAAATGGAATATTTAACTCTGAAGCTAATGTTGGCTTCAGAAATAGTTTTCCATCGTAATGCTGCTTGTGTATAAGTTGATGGTGGGACGCTCGTTGATATTCAGTGGTTCTGGGTTATGCCTATTTGTTGTATGATTTTTAAATCGAACTCGCATCATACACCATGATATTGTAAATGGCAGCACAGATAAGTAGCAGAGCAGATAAGTCAAAGTATCAGATCATGTGTTTTTGTAAAAAAAACAAATTTGCTTTTAAAATATATATCTTAAGCTTTCAAATGACTCCCCATTATGTGGATGGAATTGAGGCAGATGTCACAGGCCACTTACATTAACCTGTGGCAATTCTCGCGTCGTGACAGCTCGCAGAAAGTCCAACTGCGTAAAGGAGGTGGAGAAGATGAGGCGGAACCGCGAGGAGCGGCGGGCGCAGCACCAGGAGATCCGGGAGAAACGGGCACAGGTGGGGCTGGCTGCCCTGGCGGCCTCTGGCGACTCGTGACACATGGAGCGCGGCCCCGTGGCAGGGGCGGGACACCTGTAGCGGGGAGCAAGCAGGAGGGGAGCGTGGCATTGAAGTTGCTCCGGCAAGAAATTGCTCGCCGTGGCGGCGCTCGCTGACGCTGGTCCTGTGTTGCTGCTCGTCTTGTGTCACAGGACTACGACGTGAGCTACCCCAACTGGGAGTTCTTGGTGATGATTAAGGAATTCCGATCGAGCCTCGACTACCAGCCGCTGTGTCTCAGCGACTCTGTAAGTGCGGATGCGCGCGTGTGTTCCTCCGACTGCGATGTGACGGTGTACGGTACGTGACGTGACTTGAGCTCGACGGTTGAAGTCGTCGCATTTTTCTTGCAGATAGAGGAAAGCCGAATATGCGTCTGTGTCAGAAAGAGACCACTGAACAAGAAAGGTAAAGTGGACGTAAGATCACATCCCACTTATGTATAGTTTAAAGTTTTCGTCAAAGTTCATTAAAAATGTTAAGCGTGTGCAGTTGCCCTGTGACGTGCATGGTTGGTTGAGTATATTCCACTCCAAACAGAGATCATAAAACGTAGCATTGAAACGACGTGAGCTTATAACTAGGCATGTAACAATTCGGTGATTAAAATAAGTTTTGTGCCCACAATGCATTCATTTAATTGTGTGCGTACGTGTAAGAATCGATTGTTTACGAATTACCCAAAGCATATGCTGATAAACCTCCATGCCAGTGGTGCAAACAAGACAGCGTAAATACGAGACAGACAATACAACTGCGAGGGTACCAAGACAAAAATGACTTGATTCTTGAAAGAGAATTGTGACCCTCAATTTGTAACATCTCATTGAATTGAATCACCCTGGGATGGGGGGTGGGCAGTGGTGGTGGGGGGGGGTGAACGATTACATACCGAGAACAAAATGCAGGGAAACCTCTATTATCCAGGGTATTTGTGGTGACTGAATCAGAATATTTATTTATGCTGGAGGAATTCGATGAGCTACAAAGCTCTTTTCACAGACGTCCAGTAAGGGGCAGGTCAGAACATAACAACAACAAACAATAAATGAAAACACGATAGGAGTGCAAAGTACAGGAAAGGTAAATAAATCGCTTAAATAAATATACAAATAAAACTCAACTACTAATCGTCTGTAAACATGTGTACATTGTTACCCATGTGTAATGGGCTGAAGCCATACAACACATCGTCTGTGTTTATTGCTCCTCAAAGTAATCGGATTACGAGGCGGTGACGTGTTTGTGGTCATTTGGGCACTGTGTCACCGACGCTTGATGAGTGTGGAGCAGAAAATGACCTGGTGAAGGGTTAAAGGTGTACTTATTTTCAAAAAGAAGGTTCAGTCTGCAAACGGGAGTAATCCTCCCACGGATAATCGTGAGAGTTAACTGTAAAGAGCGGTGGTGAAACAACTACCAACAACAATGGCCGAGTTTTCACTCGAACCTCGCCCCCATGCTCTGCGGCAGAGCTGGGCCGGAAGGAGATCGACGTCATCACCGTCCCTAACAAGGACATCGTGATGGTGCACGAGCCCAAGCTCAAGGTGGACCTCACCAAGTACCTGGAGAACCAGACGTTCCGCTTTGACTACGCTTTCGACGAGACCACCACCAACGAGATGGTCTACAGGTGGGTTTGCTTGGGGCAAACGGGAGCACTGGCCGGGGCAAACTTGCAGCAGATGTCTGCTGCTGGAGAGGCCAAGGTCAAGAGATCATTGTGTCTAATGTCGTTGATGCCCACCACACCTCGCCATGTATTCCATCTGCTAGAGGTCTCACAGCTGTCAAACAGTCAACACCCACCACTCTTTACAGTATCCCACCATCTGGCTTTGTCTTTCCCGTGGTTGCCAACCTTTGGACGCCACTGTCATGCCTTTCTCAGGGACCCGCGCTCCTCCAACCTGCGCACGTGGTTCCACCCACCGTAACCTATGATCGCGACAACATCTGCAATGCTTTCTTACTACATCATGAGTCCTCATTTTCAAGTTGATTTTACCCTGTCCTGACATGAACATCCTCCATTTCTGTTGGAGTCGATGGATATTTGTGGAGGTTTGGAATTGTATCGATGGTCCTTGAGGTTGCTTATCCTACAGCTAAAACTTGACACAATGTGCAAGTTGTAATAATGTGTGACTGCATTTGTACATTGAAGCAAGGCTAGTATATGTGAAAAGAACTGGTCACACAAACCTGTGCTGAGAGAATTGCCCCGAATTATACAAACGCTTCTCGTCTTGATGCATTGCTGTTCTGTGGTACAGATTCACTGCCCGTCCTCTGGTGGAGACGATCTTTGAGAAGGGGATGGCCACGTGCTTTGCGTACGGACAGACAGGAAGTGGGAAAACCCATGTGAGTGCTGCTTTTTGTTGCCTGTTGCATGCCCTGATGCCCACTTGCCACCACCGATTATCACAAATGGCTATGTACAGGGCAGAGGAAATTCAACATACATGCATAAATTCATCCTTGCATGAGTGTTAACCATCACCGCTTCACCTTCCCACACAGACCATGGGCGGTGTGTTCTCTGGGAAGACTCAGGACTGCGCTAAAGGCATTTATGCCCTAGCAGGTGAGACGTAACTAAGTGATGACTTTCGATATTTTAATACTGGAGTGGAGTGGCAGTATAGTGGTTAGCGCACCGCGCAATGAACCTGCCTACCTGAGTTCGATTCCCGGCCACGGCTAACATCGGTTGCGAGTAATTCCCGAACGGCTGCTGATCTCCCCATCACCAATCCACACTGACCAACATGGTAAAGTGTGGTCAAAAAAACTCCCATGATGGACACGACTTGGGGGGGGAGGCTATTCATCCACGATTGGATTTATTAATGAGTGTAAATTATTTTGAATCGCATGCTATTGTATGCATGCGAGTGTTGTAGCTGTGTGTATGCGATAAGGATGCAATCATATGCACCCTCCAGTATGCCCTTGTTTGGCTATTGTTCAGGCATCACACATGGTTGGCAGTCGCGCAATGAACATTACTTATTGCTTTTTGTTTTTTGACAGCGCGGGATGTGTTCCAGTTTTTAAAGCAGCCTCGCTACCGGCAGTTAAACCTCCAAGTGAACGCCACCTTCTTTGAGATATACAGTGGAAAGGTGAGATTGAAATGAGAAACTCGTACCCACAAATTGCATTTTTCAGTCTACCACAAATACCCATATTGATGGGCACAATGGATGTTTGTTTCCTTTCAGACGCTGACATGTAGTGGGCGGTGGTTGTATCCATTGATTATCTAGGTTCGTGTGCATAAACTTGCAAATTTGTTGTCGTCGTCCATCGTAGATGGTTCAGCTGCTTAGCAAGCAGCAGTGAGCATTGTGAGGGCTGTGCATGTGTGGTTGTCCGTGTGTGTGTGTGATTGATATCAAGTCATATTCGATTTGTGATAGCGTCATGTCACAAGAAGTCAAACAATGACCCTGCAAGATGATGTGACAGAATTAGTACTGAAGTTACTTCCATACCAGAGGCACTGTTTTTACATGACTTGTAAAAAGTGTTCATCACATGTCAAACCACATTTTGTGTTGATTCTCAGAGCTGGAATTGGCCAAATTTATTTTTAAAAACGGATTTGAGAATGATCTGTTATTTTTGTGCAGCATCGAGCTAGCACCTTGGGGAGCACCTCGAACACGCGACATAAATTTGCCCGGTCTCGTGATGGGCGAGTGTCCGAACCACACTCTGTGGTTTTCTCGCTGGCAGGTGTTTGACCTGCTCAACAGGAAGGCGAAGCTGCGCGTGCTGGAGGACGGGCGGCAGCAGGTGCAAGTGGTGGGGCTGCAGGAGAAGGAGGTGTCCAATGTGGAGGAGGTGCTGCGGCTCATCGAGATGGGCAACAACTGCAGGTGCTCCGTCCCCAACGAGTTAACTCCACAAAGCCGAGCTCCTCTCACCTCCTTGTGTGCCGCGATCCTTCCCACTCCGACAGAATCTAAGAGGAGATTGTGTGTCTTTTTAGTTGTTAACGTGAGTGACTGGTCCCGCTGGGCTATTTCTTTCGGGATCATCTTCAAATTGCCGTTCTTCTATGGGCAATTCCCATGGTAAATTCTCCACCGTTCACTTTAATGAAGTTAAAACAGGTTTAGCGTCGTGCCGTGTAGTGGCTATTCCTGCCATCACCACTAGATGGAAGGCTTCAACCATACGTAGCATAAGACAACGCATCAATTCATTGATTAAATCAAGGTTGCTCGTAATGATCGGGTAAAGTTATTGTCGTGCCATGTAATGAGTGTCGGTTACAAGTCCCATTATATTCCGTTGCCATATTCCCTTGTAGAACGTCTGGGCAGACGTCGGCGAACGCGCAGTCGTCACGCTCGCACGCCGTCTTCCAGCTCATCCTGCGGCGTGCGGGACGCATGCACGGCAAGTTCTCGCTCATCGACCTGGCCGGCAACGAGCGTGGCGCCGACACGGCCAGCGCCGATCGGCAGACGCGCCTGGAGGGCGCCGAGATCAACAAGAGCCTGCTGGCGCTCAAGGTGACGACTGCGTGCCCATGCGCTCGCTCTGCTGGACATCTGTCAAAGAGCTTTATAGCTCATCGGATTCCTCCAGTATAAATAAATATTCTGATTCGATGCTGCTACCCCCTTGGCACCATTGGCCCCAGACCCAGCAGAGTTTCCACCATGCTTGTTGTTAATACGACAAGACGGCTGTCATGCAACGCGAGGTCAAATCAAACTGTGCTGAACATTAAGTGGCTGTAGGTTTATTAGATTGTTGGTGTATATAGGGGTCCTGCCGCACGTCCCGGTACTGTGGAGCCTCTGTGAGAGCGCATTTTCCTGCATGTGTGTGCGTGTATGTGCGCACGTGGTTCGTTTTAAATGCACACCTGGTGCGGTGGTTTAAACGTGATTAATGAGGAGACGAAAGCGTCTCGACGTAGCGCAGGCCCACGCCGCTCTCTTCCTGTGATATCCTGGCCTTCAACGGCGTTCGCGAGCAGCATTCGGCCCAACATTTTGGTGTAGGCTGCACGGGGGATCTCCGTCTTTGCGTGCGTGTCGTGGGCGTGCAGGAGTGCATACGTGCCCTCGGCCAGAACAAGCCACACACGCCGTTTCGCGCCAGTAAGCTGACGCAGGTGCTGCGGGACTCCTTCATCGGCGAGAACTCCCGCACGTGCATGGTGAGACGACGGCACTCGGTGCATGGGCCGGGCCGGCTCGAAGCGCAGCTGTCGCACAAACTACCGTTGGGTTTTTGATTTAAAGCTTTCGTGACTGCAGGGATTTATATTCTTGGTTCTTTCAGTAAAGTCACGTAGAAGGGAAACAATAAAATAATAAAAATATGAAACAATAAAATTCTCACGACGTTTCGGCCACAACACAAGTAGCCTTCCTCAGGTGAAGAAACAACTGTCGAGAAGACAGCATCTTAATGAACACTGCTAAGCTTAGCAGCGTATTTTAAGCTGGGTGGGAGGAGCAGAGCGCCTTGACAAAGGAGTTTACATATGTAGACAAAGGAGTTTACATATGTAAACTCCTTTGTCAAGGCAAAGGAGTTTACATATATAAACTCCTTTGTCAGCTTAAAATACGCTGCTAAGCTTAGCAGTGTTCATTAAGACGCCGTCTTCCCGACAGTTCTGTTTCTTCACCTGAGGAAGGCTACTTGTGTTGTGGCCGAAAGATCGTGATAATTTTTTATTCTTTTATTGTTTCCCTTCTACGTGACTTTACCAAAAGAACCAGGAATACCGTTGGGTTCTTTAAATATTTTGTCGTCCATTAGTGGAAGGTTGAGTAACACACCATAAAATCTGTAAAATAATTCCCCATCCGGATTATGAGTTTGTGTTTTTTTATAGGTCATGACCTGACCTTGTAGAGCAGGCAAAACCTTTAATGGAGAAAACTAACAGCTCGGTGTGCACCGTCTAACTGCCTTTTGCGAGTTGCACAGCAATCAATATGGGTCGAATGTCAGAGTGTGCACAACGAACGGGCAACAACTACGGGAATGTTTGGTATTCACGGTGGCTCGATTGCGCTGAATGCACCACCGAAGCTGGCGAAGTCGCCGTTTTACTGACCTGGAGGCATCTCTGTGTACATGTGGCTGGCTTTTGTTCACTGTGACCAGATCGCCATGATTTCCCCAGGGATGAGCTCCTGCGAGCACACTCTCAACACGCTCCGATACGCTGACAGGTAAAGCTTACACCTATTATTGTCCCCTGTTCTCAAAGTTTTGATCGTCTTTCAGCATTTTTTAAATGCCCATAAGGATACGTTTGAGTAAATGTAAGTTATTTGAGTAAGTTATTTGAGTAATGTAAGTTATTTAAAACAACTTGTTACTGTGTACAAAAAACATGTCTTGTAATGATTGTGAATAATCATTGTAAGGTAGTGGCTCATAATAATGATGTCAAGATGCATTATTGCTGTCAAGTAATGTTTTACTTAAGAGCATTGTATTGGCAATGACCCTGCTCTAACCCTGAGACCCAACGCCTGACGTCGCTGTGACAGTGTCGTGAGCCCGAGCTTGCTGCAATCGGCTATTGGTCTGTCTCGTTAAGCAACGCCGAGCGTCCTGCTACCGGAAATGTCATAACGCGGGCCACGGCTGTTGCATCTCCCGTTGTCATGAGCTGTCGTTTCTCTCGCCTCTCCTCACCGCTTGCGCGCACGCCGCCCGCCCTGTGCCCCGCGCCCTGGGCTCAGGGTGAAGGAGTTTGGAATTAACCCCATGGACATCCCTTTCCTGTCAGCCGGAAGCACCCAGTCCGACCTCTCTCCCTCTGCGCTGTCCGACTCTGAGTATGCTCTGTGCGGGGGTGGGGGGCGTGCATCGTAGGCATCTCCCCTAGGGGGGGGGGGGGGGGACCATGACTCGTGTACCGTTCGGGGCTCATTCATCGCATCGGTTTACGAGCGCACGCCGAGCGCTGTGGCCTTCCGCGCTGCCTGCGACACGAAGGCTTAACGCTGCTGACGTGGCTTCACGTTTATGGCTGGAGAACCCTGCCCGCTATGTGTGTCACGAGATGGGGCATGGTGGGACCCCGGAGGGATGCCCATTGACCTACGCACATGCCAGGACCAACCCCTGGCTGTACCTCTTTACCTCCTGATCGTACTTAACGGTGTTATTAAACACTTCAGGGAGGGAATTTTTTTTTCGAGAATAATAACTAGGTACAGTTCTACTTGAGGTCACTGAGAGTGACTGAGAGTCTGCACTGTATCGTGTTCATATTACCCCAAGCTGAAACTATAGCATGCAACTCATGTGTGCGAGTGAACCATTTCACAAAAGACATCGCACTTTGTTTTACTTGATTGCTTCATGTGCGCGTGCTGACCCTGCGAATGATTCCCGCATGCTACCTGCGCGCAACGAGCAGCAACCCGGTCAATGTGCGTGCCATCCACGAGTCGCTCGCCTGCCGATGATGTATTCCGTTTCGCTCCACGCGCGCACTCGTCATTCGTGCACGTCTGTACGCGCGTGCGGCACAGGGTGAAGGAACTGGGGGTGGACCCTTCGGTGCCGGGTGTGGGCGGTGCCCACAGCCCCGGCGACGCTCCCAGCGTGTCGGCGCCCAGGAACGTGGGCGCGTCGCCCGGTCGCGACGACCTCAAGATCCTGTGCGAGCAGAACGTAAGCCCTCGCCTGGAGCCCGGCCTCGCGTGCTCACAGCCTGCACGGCCCAGAGCCCGCACGGCCAATACGGCCTCTTGCCGTGTCGGCGCGGGCGGCGCACGCCTCCACCACACTCTGCCCGTGTCGTTATTTGTTGTTATCTGTGCATGTCACACGCTTGCGCTTTTGCACCGCACTTAATTTTGAGGTCTTGCGTGCACATTCGCGGAGACTTCTCTTTGATTGCTCCGGTATAGTTTAACTGTGGGTGGAGTTGTGTTGACGCGGGGCGCTTAGAGCGGTCAAGAACCTGGGTTCTGCCAAATAAATTTCTGAATGCATAAGTGTAACCAAGCCACTAATCCCGAAGCACATTAACAAGCATCATGCATTTGCTGCGTTTTTCACAGCTGATGATGATTGCTTGTGTTGCAGTCGAAACGTCGTGATAATTTTATTGTTTTTTTATTATTTTATTGTTTCCCTTCTACGTGACTTTACCGACAGAACCAAGAATATAAGCATCATGCAGTTAGCCTGATTATACAGCACTTTGTTACATCAACTATTTCAGGTTCTTCACTTTAATTAAGTAGCAAACCAAATGCCTTGGTCAGCCATGGGGCTTATTTCTCTCTGTCCTCTACACATGCAAGATAAAAGCTATACGTTTGAGAAAAAATTGGCCACAGTGCACAGGATGCTTTGTGCTGGCTTTTTGACGGCACCCGTTTGACCGCGTGCGGATGGTGACGGCCTCTGTTGGTCTTGTTGCGTGTTGTTTTATTTTGAAGATGGGATCACTCGACCTGCTAGATGACAGTGTCGAGCTCATCAAGCTGTGCGATGGCTATTTTACTTTGAAAGGACTGCAGGTTAGGCCCAGGCTCTTCCCTTGCTTTTTTCAGCGCTTGCAACGGGACCGTTTGTTTGGGTGCCATTGAGCGAAGAACAAAAACCAACGACAATAAACAACTGTTGGCTAACATTAAGTTTTAAGACAATTCAGAGTTTTCACATAACGACCTCCTGAGCTTCCGTCCTCTTGCACATTTCTCAAGGTGCACGTTTATTTATGTATCTAGTTTGCGTTGTGTTCCATGCCCGTTTTCTTCTCAGCCGACTCGGGCCCAAACAAACGGATCCACAGCTTAGACGAGACGAGGCTCTCGGTGGTGGTCCGCTCTCACCCACTGTCAAGAGAAAAGGATTTTAAATGCCTCCCTTGAGCTCGTGACCTGGCAATGTTGTGCGCTGCTTATTCGCATGCTCGCTCTGAAAAAAATTTCACCAATTAAATTTCACGCAAGGCACCAAGAGGACTTGCAATATTTGGAGCCACTGGATGTGGCAATTTGTTTTACATTTTCAAAAGGGTAACTTCCCGTGGTGTTAATCGACTTGTTCTCATTGCAAACGGTGGCAGCGAGTGCACTGAGAACCCTTTTCGTTTGACAGTGGGCAGGCTTGAGGTGAAGTTGATGGTAGTGCTCTACTGGTAACACAATCACGGTCCGCACGGCTAGCAGTAACGCCATTTGCTCTGTAAAATATTACGACCAGTCGAGTTTCCCCTCGCGCAACTCATTTCTTTAAAACCGCTTTGTGTTTAATTTGTTGTCCTTCCCCCCCCCGCACCTCCGATTAGCACGGTTGGCTTTTGTCCCGTGCGGAATAAGTTCAACATACATACGTACAATCATTAACACATTCCTCGAATAAGATCCACAGGCTTTATTCGACAGATTAGTTCCTCACAAAACCACCCTGATGGCTTGCCAACATGCGCTTGTGTGTGTTTGCGTGCGTGCGTGTGTGTGTGTGTGTGTACGCGGTAGTGTAGCAGTTAGCGTGCTGCCCTACAAACCCGGCGACCCGAGTTCGATTCTCGCTCATGGCCAACAACGGTGACGATTATCTGAACCGTTCCTGGGCCTCTCCTAGGTCGACTCAGCCTCAAATGAGTACCTGGTGCGGTGTGTTAACATTGCCACTCGGGAGATAAAGGCGGCCGGGCCTGGTGCTGGCCACCCACCCCCTCGTGTGCCGTGCCGGCCTTCACAGGTGCTCGCTAACAGCACTTGCCCCAACAGCCTGTGAAGGCTATACGGGGGACCTTCGTCTTTTGTCCGCGTGTGTGCCTCCTGCGGCTTGCAATTGCGCACACGTTAGGAGGAGGAGGTGTCCCCCCAGCTGTTCACATTCCATGAGGCGGTGTCGCACCTGGTGGAGATGGAGGAGGAGCTCGTGGAGGATCACAAGGCTGCCTTCCAGGTTCGTTGCGGCGTAGACGGCACGGTGCGGTGTGCACACGCCCACCTCGCTTGCGGGGGTCTGCTCTGCTCCGAGCCAATGGGAATGGGGTCGCGCGCGACCACACTCCGGCGCACCCACGCTCGCTCACTTAATCCGCCACGTATGGAACCGCCCACGTAAGAATCCGAGATGTACGTTAATGTTAAATGTAAGCAAACGGCGCAAGCAAAACCTTGCAAACCAGAAACAATAGAAATAAAGTGGTAAAAACGGAACAACAAAGAATCGATTGTTGACTTGAATTGCGACCCTTAAGTGAGTGAGAGGAGGCAGGAGAGGGTTTGGGAGTGAATGATGACATGCCGAAGGCACGCACACCCACTCACGTGCGAACGACGCTACACGCGTCCGCCCCCGGCAGGAATCGATCCAGTGGCTGGAGGAGGAGAAGACGTTGCTGGAGATGACAGAGGAGGTGGACTACGACGTCGACGCGTACGCCTCCCAGCTGGAGCTCATCCTCACTCAGAAGCTGGAGCTCTTCTCCACCATGCAGGGTGAGTTTCCTTGCTGCTGCCGCCACCACCACTAACTCTGCTCTGTGCTCGATACCACCTGGGATTTTTGTCCCAGGCTTCCTGGCACGATTCTGAACGTTCGTAAGTGAGAAGACAAATGGCCTAAAGTTCTTGGTCAGGTGTTGCATCGTGGCTTTGAAACTTGATGACCTACGTTGGATTCCCCACCATGGCTCACATCAGTGGTGACTGATAAATGAACCGGTCCTGGGCTCCCCCACCCCTACCCTTCACCAGCCTCCACTGACCAACGTGATGAGGTATGGTCAAACAACCTGCATGACCAGATTGAAAAAGGACTGAAAACTATTCGTTATTTCCAACTAAAGTGGTATTGAGACGTGAAATATATGTTCTGGGTCAACGCAATAAAGGCACTGACGAGGGAGTTTAGCCTAGACGTCTCTGCTTGATTTCATAAGGTCTGCACAGAGGCGTAACTATGCCAGACACACCCCTGCTGCTCTGAGGGGTGGTGGCGGGAGGAGAAGACGTTTACGGGGACATTAGTGACACGTGGCGGGGCTGCCGTGTTCCCCTACAGAGAAGGTGAAAGCCTTCCGGGCCGCGCTGCAGGACGAGGAGCAGGCTAGCCGGCAGATCGGAGGCCAGCGGCGGCCCCAGGCGTGATCTGCCCCACCCCGAGCCACCCGTCGGCGCCGCCCCGGAAGGCCTCCAGGGTCAAATGGACTCTTTGTCCTCTTGTCGGCAGCATCAGCATTTAATTTTTGGAATAACTGCAAGTTGAGCGACGAGAAACACTTCATCGATCGGCATCTTTATTGTTCAATTTTTTTTATCAAGGTCGATGAAAACATTACCCGACGTCGACCAACTGGATTTACTTGTTTGCGTGTTGCTGCGTGATTTTAGTGCCACGTGTTCTTTTTTTTGACAACTGAACATGAAGAGGTTGACCCGGTTCGAAATGCGTCAAGAAAAACTTGCACTTATTGCAAAAATGAGCGAGGCGTTACCATCGCAAGCAGGGCGGCCCTACTTAACCACCACGCCCGTAGTTTGCTGTAAACAATTTCTCGCGAGACCTACGGTTAATGCGGCGCAAACAGTTGTGCCGAATGGCGCCGTGTGCGGTGCGTGTCGTTTTTACTGAGCCTGACGTCGTTCACCCCTCCCACCCACCGCCGCCGGCTTTGCGTTGTGCAGACGTCGACGCGGCCATTCGTGTGCGAGCTCCCCCCCGCCCCCCGTGTGCTGCGGCCGTCCGTCGTCGCCCGTCTCGTTCTGGGCTGCGCGTCGTTTACTCCACGCGTCCCTCTCCACCTTGCGTAGCTTCTGGCCCCGTTCACTCGAGGGGCGCACGGCGCCGCCTTTGGGAATCTTCCGTGTACCTTACGACCGTAGTCGCTCCAGCTTCTGGTTTGTGTCGGCACTGGTGGTGATTTAAATTTAAAAAAATGAGCCCACCACCCCGAAGCCGGGAGGGCGAGAGCCCATGGCCAGGTAGCGATCTTACAGGGTACTGCGCACGCTCGCTCTCGGCCCAGACCTTTAGCACGCGATCGAGTCGCTGTCCATCTCGGTAAGGTGGAGTTTTGTGTGTGCACCGAGTTGATGCCCTTGTGTAAAAAAAAAAAAACCTCGTGATTGAAATGGTCTGTATTGTCGTTAAATCAAACTTGAAGATGATCTGAAGTCCGTCACATCCCCAATGTCGCATAAACATTTCTGTCGTTTCTGGAGTTGCATATGGGGCCTCGTAATTTAACCATTTCAGTGTTTTAATTGTAATGCAATAACATTGTGACGGTAGTTTTATTTAAATAAGATAATACAAATTAACCTAAATGTACTTGACTACAGATCCTAACCAAATACTGTGACGTCTGCATGTGGCCGCCACTTTTATTGAGCTCATTGAAGGAAAAGTACATTAACCGAGCATACAGTCCGTTGAGTAACATTTACACTCTTGTTATAAGGTTAAAAAACATAGACATGTTGTCAGGAATCCCTTCCACGTGGTTGGTCATAGCTTTTATAATTGTAAATAAATTTAGTTTTTGGATCCTAGCAAAATTTTTGCTTGTTAGTCCTCCCCACCTGGAGACATTTAATTGGGGTCTGTTCCCTTTTGGAACTACTGCAAGGTGGGTTCGTCCAGGGCCATAGCCACTTATGACGCGCTATTTAATTTCTTACTCCAGATCATTAACGTGCCCTTTAAACGCATTCCTTTTTATGTGTGATGTTTACTTCTGCGATTCGATTATACTATTAACGTAAAGTTATGTCGTCGTTTGCCTTTTCCGTTCATTGCCTTTTGTGACAACAGCGCTGGCACCCCCCCCCCCCCCCCCCGTTGCTCTCCCAGTCGAGGGGGTTTAGTTTGTGCGCTGTCGAGAAGCGCAGAGAGGAAAATGAAGGGGGGGGGGCCTTGCATGCGTCTCCCCCCCCCCCCCCCCCGACACTCCTCGGGATTGCCTCGGGAGAGGAAAGAGTCCCCCGGCTTCCGTTTGCTGTCGTGCCCCCCCCCGCCCCCCGTCCCCCGTCGTCCTTGTGTGCGAATCCGGTGCCGTACGCTCTGGAGGAGATTCACCGCCCCCCCGAAATAAAACTTTTAACGTGCTTCACGACGCGTGGTCATCTTGCTTTGATTGCCCTTGCCGACACTTTGTTTATCCAGGAGAGAGCGTCGGCGAGTTCTCGTGATTTTTTTAGGAAGCGTCCTGCCAATATATTTCGTAGTTGGGGTGGGGGGGGAGGCGATAATTCGTCGGGGTGGAATGCCAATTGAGTAGCGCGCTGTAGTTTGCGGGTGCGTTTTTTCTTAATTTTTTTACGACCAACGCACTCCGCAGTGTTAATCAGGGAGGCCGCTCGATTCGAACTTTGAACCCCTGCCGCGAGCGAGCGGTGAACGTGCTCTCACGCGCTTGGCCGTGCTGTCGGTCCCAGCTCCCCGGGGGATGAATGCCACGGGAATCGCTCCGCTGGAAAGCGGCCCCGTTCCCCCACCACTCTCCGAGCCAGCATCGCCAACACCCCCGTTGCGGCCCCGTTCCCCCACCACTCTCCGAGCCAGCATCGCCAACACCCCCGTTGCGGCCCGGTTCCCCCACCACTCTCCGAGCCAGCATCGCCAACACCCCCGTTGCTGCCCCTTATCCACACATCGGGTTCGCGTGCTGCGCTGGTGATTTGGGCTGGCGGGGGCGTCTTGATTCGATTTAAGAATGAGGCCTATGTCCAAATCGCCTTGGAATGCGTCGTCGGATCTTGTCATATCTCAGAAACTATGCAGGGTTGAGCCTGGATAGGTACAGTACTTTAATGAACGAGCATCATCTGAAACAGGTGCGACGTGCTGCGGCGCTGTGTGGTGGGCAGCAGGGTGCAGCGCAGCCAATTACATTGCGCTCTACTTCTATGCACCAATGTTTATGCTATACGCCTTCAACTAACCTGCAGTGACCAGCGCGGTGAAGTATGGTCAAATAACACCCCTCCCAACCACGGCATGGGGAAGGCCCTCATTCAACAGGAGAATGACAAGAGCTGTACACGTGTGTTTTTTTTTACTTTGCGGTGAATATCCCCTTCAGTGGCCGTGGGGTTCATTCACCCAAAGTGCCAATACGGATCAGTTATTTTACGTGTGATGTAGATGCATGTTTTTGTGAGCATATGAATCGACGTGCCACTACGTGGCTATTATGCGTCAATGACTCGCAGGCTTGTGTTTATGCTCTGCGTTGGATGTCTTCACGATGAGGGGTAATCAAAAACACTTTCCATGGCAGGATATTGGAGCTGCTCAGTGTTTTGGAGTGTAATTCCTGGCCCAAGTACACTTACCAAGTACAGTAATGCATCGGAGAATGCGCAGCGGGCCTGGTGTGCGTCTATGAAATAAACCATGTTGAACTTTATGGATTAGCAAATCTTCTTTTCATATTTTCATGGTATGTTTGACAACCCCTCAAATGTATGCTGAACTTCTTTCGCACCATACATTGCCAACCGTGCCAATCAAGCCTGTGCGCCGTGCACCAGCTGAACGCGCAGATCAACGTAAACGGGGCACTAGTTAGGATGTGTTTGTAATTCATCTGATGGAAAAGTCAAACTTTACATAGAAACCCACCTTGACAGGTACACCACTCGATAAAGGCAACTCTGACTCGTTGACGCTCGTTTGAACGAGTCCTTTATCCAGGGCAAGGTTTCCCCACGATTATCCCGGATGACGGCTCTGTTTTTATTTTTTAAGTGCCCGTCACGTTCGGCTGGCATCGTGGCCATCGGCTGAAGGAGTATTCCCACTTGTATCCACTGTCCTGCAGGCACCCCAGTGAAACACGCAACACCCCGCAGGATAGATCCCCTTGGCGAGCAGGGCAAAGAGCTCGTTTAATTTGACAATGAGCGCAATCTGTACCATCCTCTACCGGCGTGTGTGAAGCATGAGCCCTCACCACCATCCCGAGGCCCCGAGAGGTGACATTGCCACCGTAACCCACGACCCCCAACGCCCTCGATCCTAAAAGAAAGGAAAAGCTGAAAGGTAACGTCTGATAAAGTTCCTCTTGACCCAGAAATCCCCAGCAGATAACAAAGTTCCCATGTGGGAGTGTACACAATGAGTGCTATTTTCCGCAATATATACATACATTCAGGCGCGTGTAGTATTCGCAAACTTTTGAATTTGGCAACGCAAGTTAAGTATTGAGGAATTCAACGTCCATGCCCAGATCTTACGCTTGGGATGCTTGTGTTTAAATTTGTTCGGCCATGGCTTTGGTTGACGTGGACGTGGAGGTAACGCGATTGTGTAGGTGACGCGATTTTGTGGGTGACGCGATTGTGTGGGTGACGCGATTGTGTGGGTGACGCGATTGTGTGGGTGACGCGATTGTGTGGGTGACGCGATTGTGTGGGTGACGCGATTGTCTGGGTGACGCGATTGTGTGGGTGACGCGATTGTGTGGGTGACGCGATTGTGTGGGTGACGCAATTGCGGAGGGCGACACTTGAGTGTAGCTTGCGAGAGAGGGGTTCCAGCCGCTCATTTCCCGTAGCGAGCAAACGGCGACTCCTCCTTGAGGGTGTTCTGAAAGAGAGCGCAAACAGACACAGCGTCGCGTGCGGTCGTGATCTTCGGTCACACGGACGTATCTGTAATGGGGATGTGGAGTGGCGTTTGGTGGGGTTGAGGGGGATCCACTTTGGGCGAGTGTTTGCACACTGCTGTTGACTCGCAGTGACGTCAAACCTTCATCGAGTCCCTGCTGTTGTGATGTGTGTGGACGTGAACAACGGGGAGACGTGCTTGCTGCTGTGCACAGTTACAACTCTTTCCCCAAGAAGGACCGTCTAATTTACTACTGTAATGAGCCTAGAATATTTGTATGGCCCGCGCGTGACGTCACTCCACGTTGGCCAGCCCCCCTCATTAATAATCATGAACAGGTGACGTCCTCCAAATCGACACCCCCCCCCTTTCATTAATAATAATTAGCTGGTGACGTCACTCCACATGGGGGGGGGGCGAGGCGCCTCCTCCCCCCTCCTGAGCGTCAACTTACAAACCTCACTTAAAAGGCAGAACCCTCACGTCACGCGATCTCCGTAACGCTGTTGAGTCATCAAAGTAAAAAGGACGTCATGATGAACAAGGGATTATAATCTTAAAATGAAATAGGTCTGTGTCACCGCGCCCTTACAAACTGCACACGCGTTGATGCAATGAATATCACGTCGCAGTCTGCTTTTCGCTTGCAAGTTTCAGATTTACTGCAATATATTTGTTGTATATAGTGGACTTTTTCTGGGGCATTTAATTTTTCATCCTGGGTAGGAGTCCCAGCGATAAAGAAAAATGCAGAATTTGTTTTGGGAGCCACAGGGCACATTAGTGGGCATGTTAGTGGGCTCAGCATAACCATGAAGGGTTAACGGGGGACAGGTTGGGCCGGAGGTGGGCGTGGAGAGCAAGGAGATGTCGGTGGTAGGAGGCGGTAACGCCCCAAAGGTCATGGAGACCAGGAGACAACCTCAACCACTGCCGTGTGCTCACCATGGGCAGGTCCGTGAGCCGCTCAAACTCGGGCCCCTTCTGCGGGCCTAGGTGGCGATAGGCGATGAAGCCGAGAGCGGCGATCACGGCGAGAGACAGCAGCACGATGAGTGCCGTCGCCACGGGCGGGAAGGAGCCGCCCCGGTCATCCACGGTGGCACCTGCATACGTGGCACGCCGGCGCGCGTGATGGGGGCGGCGGCGGGGGGTACGGTCACTGGGCGAGCCTTCACGAGCCACCGATTACCATCGCACCACACCACAGATGGGGGCACACTTCCTTTCCGAAGGCCGAATAGGGCTTTCAAATATTTGACCGGATCGGCAACACAAAGGATATTTCCACACCACACCTCGGTAGCTCTCACCATGGTCGGTGGCTACTGCTCAGTGTCACCTTCTTCGGTCAACCAACCACCCGGGAAAATATTCAGTGATAAATTGAGGCCTGGCTAGGACGCTATGTAATGACTTGTGTGCTCAGATTTACTTGAAACACAACAAATGACCGAGCGTGATAAAAACGTAATTAAACAGGGTTCTGTCAGGTGAAAAATATTCCCCTCTCGCGCTCGATTAGTGCAACTCGGATGCTTGCAGCGACAGCTAAATGCCGTTTTCAGGGCGGTTGGAAGTGGAAGGCCTCACGTGGCTGTTGGCCGTGTGAAACGAAGTCGTGGGCCGTATGTTGATCACCCCTGCTTAGAGCCAGGTGAGAGCCGACTGAGACACGGTGAGAACTGTGGCCGGTTGCATGAAAACGCCTAAAATAGTTTAATATTTAACACTTAATGTAAGTACAAGTAAGGAGATGAACTTAACGTGTCCTATGCAACCTGCATCTAGGGGTACATATTAGGCCGAAAAAAACTTTGATAACTGACAAACTCATTGCCCACACGGTCGGGTGTTTGTGACAGTAAGCGGATTGAGTGCATGTCAATCATTAAGATCGTTGTGCGGCCATCTGTGGGGCGGTGGCAATAAAAACAACAGCGGATTGTAGAGAACGCCGATGAAGGTCGCGCGAGTGCTATATACGTGGGGTTATCAGGTTTCTCTTCCCACACCCCTCCATTGCCGAGCAGAACACAGTGCACTGCTGCTGTCAACTTTAATTGAGGTCAAATTATTAAAGCGAGTTCCATTAAAGCCACCTCAATCGCGTTACATTTCCAACAAAGACCACCTTCAGAGATTTCTGTTAACCGTCTCCCATTGCACCAACCCTGACCCTAACCCGACGGTTCGAAACCCGAGCTGAAATGGAATTCCACCGGAGATCGCTCCAAAGCGCGACCGTCTTACCCGCTTCTCCCGTGCCGTTCACTGGGGGAGAGAAGAAGAAAACGCGCACGCGCACAAGTAAGACTGGGCGCCGATGGTTCATTCAGCAGACAAACGTGAAGGCCGACCCACGTGGGCCAATATGCCTCTCCCAAATGCACGTGGCAGAACAGGTGGCAACACCCTGATGCTGAATTAAATTTGATTCTGGGGGGTGGCAGGGCTGTTGGTTTTTTTTTGGGAGGGGGGGGGGGGCCTCTTTGTTTATAGGATTCAAATTTCCTTAACCTTTATAACCCCTACCCGTGCCCAATGATGCCAAAAACTCAATCGTTATTCACCCTGGTTATTTCAGTGCTTCTTTGTAAACGCGATGAACGAATTGTAAAGCTAAATCAAAGTTAAAATGAACAAAACTTTTAACTTTGGCTCATAACCCACGGTGATACAGCAATGCTATGGTTTTCATTGCCAACTGACCAGGGACATTTATCAAAGTGCTGCAGGATTTTTCTTCAACCATTTTAAAGTTATCTATTTGTGTATTTTATATGATATACATATTTATACAGTGCCTTAATCCAAGGCGCTTTAAAACGGTTATATAATTGTACATAACATGATAATGGTTGAAACAGAGAGTGGGGTTATTAAAAGTGGTGATATAGTTATGGTGACGGGAGAACAGGTGGGTGAGGTGTAGGGGTAGTGATAGGTGTAGGGGTAGTAATAGGGGTAGTGATAGGGGTAGTGATAGGTGTAGGGGTAGTAATAGGTGTAGGGGTAGTGATAGGGGTTGGGCTAGTGATGGGGATTGGGGTCGTGATAGGGGTAGTGATTTGGGTAGGGGTAGTGATAGGGGTAGTGATTTGAGTAGAGATAGTGATGGGGGTAGGGGTAGTGATAGGTGTAGGGGTAGTGATAGGGGTAGTGATTTGAGTAGAGATAGTGATGGGGGGTAGGGGTAGTGATAGGTGTAGGGGTAGTGATAGGGGTAGTGATTTGGGTAGTGATTTGGGTCGGGGTAGTGATAGGTGTAGGGGTAGTGATAGGGGTAGTGATTTGGGTAGGGGTAGTGATAGGTGTAGGGGTAGTGATAGTGATTTGGGTAGGGGTAGTGATGGGGGTTGGGGTAGTGATAGGTGTAGGGGTAGTGATAGGGGTAGTGATTTGGGTAGGGGTAGTGATAGGTGTAGGGGTAGTGATTTGGGTAGGGGTAGTGATTTGGGTAGGGGTAGTGATGGGGGTTGGGGTAGTGATAGGTGTAGGGGTAGTGATTTGGGTAGGGGTAGTGATAGGTGTTGGGGTAGTGATAGAGGTAGTGATTTGGGTAGGGGTAGTGATAGGTGTTGGGGTAGTGATAGGGATAGTGATTTGGGTAGGGGTAGTGATAGGTGTTGGGTTAGTGATAGGGATAGTGATTTGGGTAGGGGTAGTGATAGGTGTTGGGGTAGTGATAGGGGTAGTGATTTGGGTAGGGGTAGTGATAGGTGTTGGGGTAGTGATAGAGGTAGTGATTTGGGTAGGGGTAGTGATAGGTGTTGGGGTAGTGATAGGGGTAGTGATTTGGGTAGGGGTAGTGATAGGTGTTGGGGTAGTGATAGGGATAGTGATTTGGGTAGGGGTAGTGATGGGGGTTGGGGTAGTGATAGAGGTAGTGATTTGGGTAGGGGTAGTGATAGGTGTTGGGGTAGTGATAGGGATAGTGATTTGGGTAGGGGTAGTGATAGGTGTTGGGGTAGTGATAGGGATAGTGATTTGGGTAGGGGTAGTGATAGGTGTTGGGGTAGTGATAGAGGTAGTGATTTGGGTAGGGGTAGTGATAGGTGTTGGGGTAGTGATAGTGATTTGGGTAGGGGTAGTGATAGGTGTTGGGGTAGTGATAGGGATAGTGATTTGGGTAGTGATAGGTGTTGGGGTAGTGATAGAGGTAGTGATTTGGGTAGGGGTAGTGATAGGTGTTGGGGTAGTGATAGGGATAGTGATTTGGGTAGGGGTAGTGATAGGTGTTGGGGTAGTGATAGGGATAGTGATTTGGGTAGGGGTAGTGATGGGGGTTGGGGTAGGCCTGGTTATAGCTGGGGGGGCAGGGAGCAGCAGTAACAAAATGGGCTAGGGGGAAGAGATGTGGGTTGTTTTAATGGAGGAACGGAAGCAAGTTAGTGAAGGTCATTTGTTTTACGGGCAGTGAGAGTTTGTTCCACTACACATAACACTGTACAATATGTGTGTTGATGAGGAACCCATCTAATCTAAGGTCCCTACCCCCCCCCCCCCCCCCCACGTGAACCCCAGGGCCCAGGCAAGGCCCTCCTCACCTGTGGTCTGGTTGGCCGTGGTGCTGGTGGCCGACGGCTCGCTCCCTGATGCTGGGGTCGGTGCCATCGACGTCGATGCTGCAGTAGAATTTGAAGACGCAGTCGAATTTGGAGATGTGGATGCATTTGAAGGTGTGGTTGTGGATGCATTTGAAGGTGTGGTGGTGGATGCATTTGAAGGTGTGGTGGTGGATGCATTTGAAGGTGTGGTGGTGGATGCATTTGAAGGTGTGGTGGTGGATGCATTTGAAGGTGTGGTGGTGGATGCATTTGAAGGTATGGCGGTGGATGCATTTGAAGGTGTGGTGGTGGATGCATTTGAAAGTGTGGTGGTGGATGCATTTAAAGTTGTAGTGTTGGATGCAATTGAAGTTGTAGTGGTGGACGCATTTGAAAGTGTAGTGGTGGACGCAATTGAAGGTGTAGTGGTGGATGTGGCTGAAGTGGATGGTGTAGGGGAAGGAAGTGCAGTGGTTGTTATTGTTGTTGTCGAAGCACCTGGGGACGTGGCCGAAGTGGGGACAGCGGAAGTCGGGACAGCGGTAGTGGTGGCGGTGGTGGTGGCGTTGGTGGTGGTGGTGCCGGCAGCGGCGGTGGTGGTGGTGACGGGAATCGCCACGGCTGGTGTTGTTGTTGCCACTCTGCTGGTTGACACCGCAATTGTTGATGTCGCCAGTGAAATTTGGGCGCTAGCTGTGAGGGGGTGGTGAGGACAGAAGCGCAGAGTTCAACCCCAACTCCAGGTCACGTGAGTTCAGTGTTCGAATCAGCAAGGGAATGACTCCCGAATGGCTCTACCCAAGGGTTTCACCAGACTCCAGTCGTCACAACGCTCTGCCTTTCCACGCTCGCCAATCTTTTGCGTAGGCGCTGTGCGCGTCGGATGATTCGTCAACGATATCTCCACGTGATGTGTCGAGCTCCAGATTCAAATTAACACTGGTCTCTACGTCACATGAAAATTCGGTCACAGTCCCTATAATCACTGTTACATTGCTTTCTGGCTTTATTTTGGTGATTTCTAAAATGTTTTTTGGTTTGGCCATGTTTGTTTGTTGTAGTACGGAGTTAGACTGATGGCCTTAATCTAAGTTGACTTGTGGTTGTTGTTTGACTTGCATCCCACTGGGATTTTTGCACACAGCGTTGGTGTACGGTGCTTTTTCAGGAATATTTAGCTGTTTTTTCCTGGATTTTCTGTTTGCACAGTCACACATAGTCGCTTTAAAGATGTTTTCTTGTTCATGTTTTTATTTTTTGTTTGTTGCGGTTGCACCCGATTCAAGAGCCGAATGGCTCACAGGGTTATACCAAATAAATGAAACTGAAACTGAAACATGGGAGACACGCGCACACACAGACACCTATGTTAATTTTAATCGGCGCTAAGTCACGTGCGGCTCTTGTTTCGCAATCATCGGTCACGTGGAGCGTGTAATGACAAAATGTGTATTCGAACGGCGAACACTGATAGACATGGAGAAGAAGCGCGCTGTAGGTCCATGCAAACAATACTGAATTGTGAAGTAACCGTGTGCAATGAGTTGATAATAATTAATGAAGTAATTAACTCGTGAGCCAGGTAAATAAACCCGTTGCTATGAAACCCGTGGCTCCCTTGAGCTGTGGCACACCGGGAGGTTGGGGAATTATTGCCGGCCCTCTCGCCAGTAGGCGCAAGCGCGCTAACCGCTGCACTACCGCTCCCCACATCACACAGCACCCACCGTGTGTGTACACAGCCGGCGAACCGAGTTCGATTCACGCTCACGGCCAACACCAGTGACGAGCATCTGTGCGCGCCTGGCGTGTTTTTGTATCGTTTGCTGTTGTTACTTTCTGACCCGCCTCTACTGGACATCATCTGTGAAAAAGAGCTTCATGGCTCCTCGGATTTTTCCAGGATAAATAAAGATTCTGAACCGGTCCTTGGCCCTTCCCTAGGTCGATCCAGCCTCAAATGAGTACCTGGTGCGGTGTGTAAACATCACCACTGGGGAGACAAAGGCGGCCGGGCATCGTGTTGGCCACCCACCCCCTTCATAGGAGCTCGCTAACAGCACTTGAAGGTTGGGGGAACAGCCCGCGTCTCGCTCCCACGCCGATGTGGGAGGGGGGGGGGCATTGTGACGTCACGAAGTCCACTTGCCGTGTGCGCGTGTCGAGTCTGCGCGTGAGTCGACGCTGCATTGTGTAGCCCAGGTGGTGAGAACTCCGGTGACCTGGGGAAGAGTCTCGTTTGCACGAGTGGCTTGGGGCATTCGTCTGCTGCCGGCAGTGGGTGAACGTGGATTTCTGCCGCTGTCTGTGTGTGATTATCCGAACCGGGCCTAGGCCTCGCCTAGGTCGACTCAGCCTCAAATGAGTACCTGCGGCGGTCTGTGAACATCGCCACTAGGGAGACAAAGGGTGACCCGGGCGTGATGCTGGCCACCCAACCCCCTCGCGTGCCGTGCCGGCCTTCATCGGTGCTACTCGCTAACAGCACTTGCCCCAACAGTCTGTTAAGGCTATACGGGAGATCTTTAGTATAATAACAATTGTCTGCTGGACCGTAATTTGCGGCAAGTTTTCTAATTTTGGCAAAATTGAATCCTGACATCGGCAACACAATACCCCCCCCCCCCCCACCGCCTTTTGTGAATGACGTCAGGCGTTCTTTAACGTGCACTGTGAAACACCGCAGTGATGACCAGGGCGGCCGCTGGTTTCGAACCGTGAACCTCTGCAATAAGCGGGGAACGCGTGCCAAATAGTTGCCCCCACCCCATCCTTGACAACCACCATGAGATTTGTCTTCGACAGCGGCGTGAAAAGAACACAAACACATTATGTAACGATGTGATTAGGCAAGAGGTGCGACCGTGCGAGACAAATCAAATATTGGGGGGTCCCCACCCTGACCGATTGCTGCACCCACTGAGCTGACAATGTCATTACTACGTCACTGATAATGTAGTTACTACGTCACTGATAATGTAGTTACTACGTCACTGATAAGGTAGTCACTACGTCACTGATAATGTAGTTATTACACCACTGATAAGGTAGTCACTACGTCACTGATAATGTAGTTACTACGTCACTGATAATGTAGTCACTACGTCACTGATAATGTAGTTACTACGCCACTGATAATGTAGTTACTACGTCACTGATAATGTAGTTACTACGTCACTGATAATGTAGTTACTACGTCACTGATAATGTAGTCACTACGTCACTGATAATGTAGTCACTACGTCCCTGATAATGTAGTTACTACGCCACTCATAATGTAGTTACTACGCCACTGATAATGTAGTTACCACGCCACTCATATTGTAATTACTATACCACTAATAATGTAGTTACTACGCCACTGATAATGTAGTTACTACGCCACTGATAATGTAGTTACCACGCCACTGATAATGTAATTACTACACCACTAATAATGTAGTTACTACGCCACTGATAATGTAGTTACTACGTCACTGATAATGTAGTTACTACGCCACTAATAATGTAGTCACTACACCACTGATAATGTAGTTACTACGCCACTGATAATGTAGTTACTACGCCACTGATAATGTAGTCACTTCGCCACTGATAGTGTAGTTACTACACCACTGATAATGTAGTCACTATACCACTGATAATGTAGTTACTACACCACTGATAATGTAGTCACTACACCACTGATAATGTAGTTACTACACCACTGATAATGTAGTCACTACGCCACTGATAATGTAGTTACAACGCCACTGATAATGTAGTTACAACGCCACTGATAATGTAGTTACAACGCCACTGATAATGTAGTTACTACGCCACTGATAATGTAGTCACTACACCACTAATAATGTAGTCACTACACCACTGATAATGTCATTATTACGCCACTGAAATTGTAGTTACTATGCCACTGATAATGTAGTTAATACGGCACTGATAATGTAGTTTAACACGTAGGCTTTCGCGACCAATATTATTCATAATAAAGGTTTTTGGGTTAGATCGCGTTATTTTTAAATGTGTCGTAACCCTCCACCACCCGACACGGCCAATCAGCAAAAAAGTGTCACGTTGACAAAAGACAAATAGTTCACTACTTTAGCCCACCAGTATGTTGAAGAGTGAATCAACATCATTTAAAATTTGAGTACGACGTTTCGCTGGTGATTACATCCAGCATCATCGGGCAATTCGCCAGAATGGTAAAGCCCTCACTTGCTCCCGGTCTTAAATAGAGCACCAGCAGGGTGACGTCATCATTTAACTCATTCAGGTGCAGTGATTTGAGGCAGGGGGGGGGGGTATTGTAATTATATAATCGATTGGTAATCAGTTAATGGTTATGATTAGTAATGAGTTGTAGATTAGTAATTAGTTGTAATGTGTGTTATTGTGATTATATGCTACATTAGTAATCCGTTAATTAGTATGTGTTTCCTCTATAAGTAATTGTAATATATATTATTTAATAATACGCTTCCAAGCCGCACTAAGCCTGTAGCTGTCAGAGCGATTAAAGTTATTTCTATTTCTCTCAATTTCAATGGATTCTCGAATTAGTCTTTGCCAGTAATGATTAGTTTTACACAACACTTCAACGCTATCAAAATCAATTGAGTGTCCTTGTTGACAAGCATGTTCTGCCACTGCCGACAGTTGTGTTTGAGATAATTTAATATTTCTTTGGTGTTCTTTTAGTCTTATGCTAATGTTACGTCCCGTCTGTCCAATATAGCATCTTCCACATAAACAATCCAATATACACCTTCTGTTGATAATTTAGGTAATTCGTCTTTAGTGCAAGATACTAGTTTTTGAATTTTGTGTACTGTACCAAATCTTACTGTAATGTTTTGCTTCTGCAAAACACGGGCTAATTTGTCAGTTACTCCTGAGATATATGGAATTTTAATTGTTTTAACAATCTGATCGCTTTCAGCAGTGTTGCTTTGCGATCGTGATTTGGCATTCAGTGCTCTGTTAATTTGAGTATTATTGTAGCCATTCTGTCGTAATGCTTCTTTAACGTGTTTGATCTCTCTCACTAGACTTTCACCATCTGACACTGTTTTAGCCCGATGTATGAGCGTCTTGATAAGAGAGGATTTCTGAGCTGGATGATGATGTGAATCTGCATTCAGATAGGCATCAATTTGCGTTTTCTTTCTGTAAACGCTGTGTGTTATTTTACCATTTATGCCATGTCCAAGCAAAATATCTAGGAACGGGAGTGTGTTATTCACCTCCATTTCCATGGTGAACTGGATGGCCGGTTTTTGTGCATTGAGATGATTTAGAAAATCATTAAGTGTATCTTTACCATGTGGCCAGACAACCAAAGTGTCATCCACATATCTAAACCAAAAAGATGGTTTTAATGTGCTCGAGGCAAGTGCTCTTATTTCTAAGTTTTCCATGTAGAGATTTGCTATAGCAGGAGATAAAGGAGAGCCCATTGCTGCTCCTTCCTTTTGTTTAAAGAAATCCCCTCTCCATAAGAAGTAAGTGTTATTTAAACAATGGTCAGCAAGTTTAGGAATATCTTTTGGTAAACCGGTATTCTTTATTAGTGTATCAAGTAATTTAAGCCTTTCGTTCACTGGAACCTTAGTGAATAGAGAAATCACATCAAAACTTACCAGACTATCATCAGGAGTAAGTTTAATATCTTTAATCACATTCACAAGATG